GAAAAGTTGAGAAAAGGAGCTCGAGTAATTGATATCGGGTATGATAATTTACGTATTCTTTACAATACTTTCAAATTTACATTTAATTATCAATGAATTTTAGATGCGGCACTGGAACTTGGATTTTGGTAAATACGATCTATCTTTTAAATATGAAATTTTATAATTAAATTGGCTTTTAATTAATAAATAAACTTAGGATATGGCAAGACAATATCCCAGGTCATATTTTATAGGGGTAGATATATCACCAATCTTCCCATCAGAGGGTCTTCCTGTTAATGTAAATTTCATCGAGTGCAATCTCCTAGATGGACTTCCATTTGAAGATTCGTATTTCGATTTTATCCATCAAAAATTTCTTGTTGCAGCATTTACACAATCACAATGGAAAGAAAAAGTTATCCCCGAATTTTTAAGGTTAACTCGACCAGGTGGATGGATAGAGCTATTAGAAGCTGACGTGTTTTATTATTCTGAAGGGAATGCTACTCTACGAATCGGAAAAGCTTGTAATTATTGATTTTTAATTTTTTATTTTCAAAAATTTTATAATTAAATTATAAATTCGATTTCTCTATAGTTCAAAATTTCATGTTATCAAAAGGACTTAACAACAAAATTGGCGAAGTTCTTCCGAGTATATTAGAAAGCACAAATGCATTTTCAGAAATAAAAAACCAAAAAAAATCCATAACTTTAGGTAAACGGGGTGGTAAAAATGGAGTAGAGGTAAATTTTTGAATAAATTATTTAAATAAAAAAAGAATTTAATTTAATATTTTCGTTTAATTACAAATGTAGACACTTAAATTTACTGTGAGAGGTTTGAGCTCAGCCAGAGGCTGGTTGTCAACCTTAGTTAATTTAACGCCTGAACATTTTGATGCTCTTTTAGAAACGTTCTCCCTCGAGGCAGAAAAATTTGATACTTTTGTATATCAGTATCGAATTTGCGGGCGTAAAAACTAGAAAATAATTTCCAATTTTAATATTTTAAATTTGCATTATTAAATATCTAAATTAATTTTTCATCGATTGCTTTATTTACTTATGTTCAAAGTTTTATATTTCACTTTGAGTTAACTTACACCTAATAATTTATTATTAAATTATTCCATTTAAGAAAAACCTAAGTTATTTATGAAAATAATTCTTATTTTAATATTTTAAACTTGCATTATTATAATATTACTTTTCATCGATTACTTTATAATCTCTAAGTTTATTTACTTATATTTATTTCACTTTGAGTTAAAATAAAGATTGAAGAACAAATTATGAAATTCTCTTTTTTCAGTTCATATATATTTTATATGCTCGCATAAATAACTACAAGTGACTCTTGATATACAAAGGTGTCCGGACCATTAGAGAAAATTTAAAATTAAAATTGTGAGTTTACTAATGATTTACTATCGAGCGGATATAATATAAAGCTCAACTTTATTATATCAAGAGTTAAAATCAGTTTTTACGATATTAATAGTTTACCAAAAATTTTATAATAAAATTTTGTTTCACAAATTATTTCTATATAAGATATTTAATAGATAAATATATTAAATAAGAATAACATTATGAATTTAATGAAAATTATTTATTTTTCCTTATTTTTATTTAAAATAATATTTATTTTTTCTTTTTATCTAATGCATAATATAGATTAATGCAAAAAGATTTGTTTCTCAGATAAATATTAATAGATTATTTATTTAAAAATAAAATTTTAAGTCTATCTTATTTAATTAAATTATTAAATATTAGAATTATTTAAATATAAATTTATTTTAATTATATATCTTTTATAAGAGTTGATGTAAAAAGATTTAAAATAAAATTAATTTATAAAATATTGAAATTTATTTAAATATATATATGATATATTTTAATTATATATCTAATATAAAAAAATTTTTATTGATAATAACTTTTTTGAATTATTATTTTATAAATTTTACTATATAAAATTTAATTAATATTAATATAAAATGTATCAATAAAAATAATATAAAAAGTTAATTTGAAATTCTTTATATAATATAAAAATTATAAAAATTAATTAAGCTTTAAATAATTTTTATTAAAATAAATATTAATTTCTCTTTTAAATATAAATTTTTTTATACTGTTTTATATTATATATAATAATAATTAAAAGTAATGTAATATTTAAATTTTTTACTAATTATAATTAATAAAGTACATATTTTTTATATATATAAGTTTTTAATTTTACTAATAAATATTTTTTATTTTTAGTTCAAAAGTTCTCTAATTTAATATATATTTTTTACTAATAACTTATTTTAATTATAGATATAATTAATTAATATTTATTAATTAATAATTATATAATTAGAATAAGTTATTAATAAGAAATCTGAAAAAATATATATTAAATTAAAGAACTTTATCTATTTTTTGAGTTAAAAATAAAAAATATTTGTTAGTAAAATTAAATACTTTTATATATAAAGAATAATATATATTTTACTAATTATAATTAGTAAAAATTTAAGTATTATATTATTTTTAATTATTATTATAAATTATTCTTAAATAATATATATTTTAATATTTAAAATAAAAAAATAATATAATTTAATAAAAATTCTCAATAATATCTCTTATAAATTTAAATTAAAATTCAAAAAATTTATTTTTTAAAAATTAAATAAAAAATTATTTAAAATTTAATAAATTTTAATTTTATGATAAAAAATATAAATATAATTATTTTTTATATAATATTTTTATAAAATTTTTAATTAGTAAATTTTATAATAGAATTTTTTTTAATTATTTTTAAAATTAATTTTTTTAATTAAAAAAAATAATACTAATATTATAATATAAATAATTTAAAGATATCAAATATTTAATTAATATTTTAAATTATAAAAAAATTTTATTTTATATATAAATATTAAAACAAATATATTATTAATAATTTTTAATATATTCTATAATATTATATGATATGAATGATCTAAAATTATGAAGTATTTTAAACTGTAAAGACTTTATATATAAATATGTAATTACAAAAATAAATATATTGCTAGATAGTCTTAAATAAGATCTATAAAATAATGCATTTTTTTTATAAAATATATTAGTAATTTATTGAGTAGTTAGAATTTTTTCTCAGTTACTTTTAATAGAATCTAATATAAAATTAAAGAAATTTTTAGTACTAGAAATTTTTTTTTGATTAGACAGAGCTTATATATTATTACATAAATAAGATAATCAATTTTTATAATAAATAAGAAGAAGTATACTTGATAATATTATTAATTTATTTAAAAATTATTAATTTATTTAAAAATTATTAATTTATTTAAAAATTATTAACCATTTTTTATTTAAAGAGATATTAAACTTCTCAAACTCTTTTTTGCTAAACTAATTAAATAGTTAAACTAGCTTAATTATTTTATATAGCTAAACTCTTTCAAAATACTATCAGAAACTCTATGATATAATTTATACTCTTTTATGACAAAAACAGCAGCTTTATCTGAAAGATCTTGTTTATAAGTACTCATATATCAAGTGGATTGATGTATATAATAATGAATCTTGATTAGAGTAACTGATTCTAATATTCATGAAATAATTTTCTTGAAATTCTTGAAAGAATAATTATAATATAGATATAAATATCACTTTGTCTTCCTTCAAAATAATTTAATAAAATTAAGCTTATAATAAAACTTTGAATAAAAAATATATATATGACTAGTTGCTTTAATAATCTTATGCAGATAGTTCTGTTAAGATGTAAAATTAAACTATTAATTAAGAATATTAGTTACATAATATTGTAATTTCATTAGATTAAAAGCATGTGATTTGTAAGTATTACATTTTTTTATCAAATCTTCCATTTACAGATCATATTCTTTGAGAATTTATCAGATTCTTTTTGATTTAATTTTACTATTAGTATCAATAAATATTAAAATGTGACAAGAATTATTAGATATCTTATCATTATAAAAAAGTAGTTATTTGTTATCATCCTTCAAATTCATTCATAAAATAATCAGGATATTATTAGCATATACACTGTAATTACAACTATTATCAAATATAAAAAATATAACTTTATTAGGATATATTCTCTCAAAAATCAGAATAGCTCTGTTAACTATTAGTTTTATAAGATCTTGATTTATTTACTAGCTATTTCAATTAGAATCTGAATGCATAATAATACAGATTTCAGTATGTAAAAGCTAATTATTATCAAAAAGCAAGTCATTCACAACTTGGTTTTCTATTAAAAAATAAAGATATTTAATTACTTCATAAATAAAATTGCTTATATAAATACTAAGATCTTGTAATTTATATTAAAGTTAGTTTTCTTTTACTAGATTCCAGGTCTTAATAATATTATTATTAGTATAAAAAATTGATTCATTATAAATAATCAGAATGAGCTCAAGAATATTGGATAAAAGTATTAGCAAGATAATTTAATTTATATTCTCTCTCTTATATATTATAATCCAAGATTATAAATTTACTATTTATTCTAAGAAATGATTTTGATAAGTTATTATATTATCATGCTTATAACTATCAAAGTAAATATTTTTTGAATAGTTCTTATAATTTTAGTCAAGTTAATATAGTTATTTCTGAGTTATTATTTTATTAATCTTTCTTTTTGTCTTAATTTCAAGATCAGATAAAGCCTTATTCTTAATAAACTTAATAAATTTATAGATAATTATTATAAACTTATTTACATATAAATATTTAATAATATGTGTCTTAAAAACTTTATCAAACAGGAGTAATATAGTTTTTGAGTGATAATTATGATATTATATGAGAATTTTACCTTTACTTGACCATTAATTAGTCTATAAACAAATAATCTACCTATATTATAAACTTTAATTAATATTATAAACAAGAAGATTACTAGCTGATAGTTTAGAGAATTCTTGATCTTGAATAAAATAAAGAAATTGGCTTACTATATCAAGCTATATATTAGACTTTTTCTTTAACAGAGCATTAAGAAATATCAAAGTAAATATATTCTTATCATTACTGGAATTAACTATCTTTTTAAATAGAAACTTATTATTACTAAGATTAGTTATCTTAATAGAAAACCAGTTAATAATTTTGTTAGAATCAAAAACTATCTTTCTTAAGATCACTCTTTTATTATATAATATTAATTTAGCAAAATCTTTGTAAATTAGTTTTCATTTCTTTATTATTTATATATCTGATTATCTTGTATTTTTGATAAGTTTCTCTAGTATACTTTGTTTTAATTTTCCTAACTTTTCTATGAATTAGTCATTATCTAAAGGCTTATTTTCACTTTCTATCTGAATAGTATTATTATTTAATTTATTAATATCTAATACTTTCTTCTTTCATTTTAACTTGATATTATTCTAGTACTTTTTGATAACTATTAAGTAATATCTAGTATATTTATTTTATTTAGATATAAGAAAGAGAAAATATATTTTAAAATAATTTAAAAAGGATTAATAATATAATGAAAAAGACTTATATCATAGAAAAAAAGATAATAATATAGGAAAGAAAGATTATTTATTATTTTATAATTATATAACAAAGAAAATATTATCTTTTAAATAAGTCTTTTTATATAATAAAAAGAGAAATAACTTATTTTATGAATTTTTAATATGAGTTTCCTAAATAATATTTAAAAGTCTCCTAAATAATTTTTTAAGAGCTCAAAATTACTTCTGATATATTTTCTGATATGATATATTTATTATATGATTATATCATAATACATATATTTTAAATTTTAATAATGATATAGTACTTGATATCTTTAGACTATTCATACTATATATTATTTTATTTATTATTTTATAAAATTATTTATAATTAGATATATTTTAATATAAATTATAATAATAATAATTATATTTTATCTAATATATTATATATAT